TCGGGTTTATTTTTGTCCGAATTAACCCGATCGGAAATGTCGGAAGGTGATTTTCAAGGCAAAGACCCCATATGATAATAAAAAAAAATCATATTGTTACATACAAATTACAAAGAAAAAAACATCAAAAATTTCAGTAACCTTAAGTCTATCTTTTCGATCTGCAAATATGGAATAGACTCTTCCTAAAGAAGTTATATTTCTCTGCAAGTACAATCCTCGTAATCCATGCACTATGTTACTGTTATTTGTTGAGCCTCAATATTTGGCGTGTCAACAACATAGAAAGAGAATCTGATGGAAGTAGACCAGCGTCTGGCAAAGGATTACAACCTTGAAATGCAAGAATATCTGTTAAACAAAATATTATTTGTTAAAAGTCTTCTCAATTAATATAAATTACAATAATTTATATACATACAATTCACCACGGTATTTTTTTGAATATTTCGTTGAGTAAGTTCTGCTTCATTCCATTCAATTATGAGAAGAGGGTCTCCATAATAAGTTATATTATCATCATCGCTGTCAACATCATCTGACCTGTGTTTTTCTTGAACAATATTTGCCCATTCTATGATACATCTTTTAGTATTACTGTTGAGAGACTGTAAGACAGCTGGCAATTGCATTTTCCTATAAAATTGACAATTTTTAAATTTCTCTCTTTTGTTTTGGAAAATTTGATCAAACAGAAATAATACCCAAAAATCTTAGGACTTAATTGATAGATAATCCAGATAGGGATACCAAAAATAAGTATAAAGAGAATGCAACAGGCAATAAAGGCGAAAATAATATAAAAATATAATAGAAGCAAATGTATAAGCAATAGTAATAAAATTTATTATCCGTTTTTTTTTTTAATTATTTGTATAATGAACCTTGCAAATTTATAAAGACCAAAGGGTTGAATAATTGATTACTACGTAACTCTAATACTTTGACCGATTTAAGATTAGACATTATCAATGATCAGAGGTTCAAAAAATTTTTTGCTTAATTAATTTCTTGATAAATATCAGATCATCACTAATTTCAGTGAATAATAAAATTCCTAATTTCCCACAGCATAAAATGTAATGCTTACATGACATTGTTAATCAGATTTAACGAATCTAGCATCGCTAGATTGGATCAGTCCAAAATTACAAATGACAACAATGATTCAATAATTAGCGAATAATGATAATCAATAAGGTGCATAAATGACAAAACAATTAGCGAAGATATAAATTTATTTAATAATTAGCGCAAGGATATTAATTTATTTAATAACTAGCGAATATATTAATTTAATTAATTTTATGTATTTAATCATTTACAAATATATTAATTTATTTAATTTAATAATTAGTGAAGATATCATAATAGTTTATGTAATAATTAGCGAAGATTTTATTATCTAATAATTAACAAAAATATTTATTTATATAATGATTTGTGTATAATTAGTAAAGATATTAATTTATTGAAAAAATGTATATATCGCACCATGCGACACAATTATATATTGCATTTTATAAGAACAGGTGTAACGTGAGATCAAAACAATAAAAAATAAAACGGTTTACTTTGTTTTAATTAGAGTTAGGGTAAGTTCAATTTTGGGTTAAAATAAGACATAGCTTATATCAAAAATTTTGCAAGGAATTTTTTTTTGTTAGAACACAAAGGGCTGTTTCCTATGCAAAATTTTGAGGTTGGTAATTTTTCAAAAAATTACAGTTTTTTGTATTTTTTATATTACACCTGATCTTAAAATTTTATTGGTTGGGCGATAAATAAGAGTATTGCACT